AGAGAGAGAGAGAAAGCGAGCACGTGTGAAATTCTATTGTGTGATCATTGATTATCACTCTTTTAGCACACGCATCATTTGGATTAAAACTAAATTGTAAAAATAAGACAATTTATAGGGGCATTCACTATAAACATCATTTATTTTTAACCTTAGGCATACACAACTTTCTGGCGAAAGTGAATCTAGCAGGAAAAAGTGGTATCGGTGCATCCCTAATAATAATACTTAGCGTTTATTAGACAAGTGGAGTGTCTGATGTAAGGGTTGTATAATTTAAAATGTTTTAAAATTACTATTAATTTATAAAATAAAGGATCACAGGGATGCTGGAGTCTATCCCGCCATTTAAAATGATGATGTTAATGTTTTTGTGATGTTAATGTGAATGGACATATGCAACTGTTCAAAATTTTGGGGTCAGTGAGATAATTTTTAAAAAAGAAATTAATATTTTATTTATGCGTTAAATTGATCAAACGTGACAGTATAGACATTTTGTTACAAACAAGTTCCACTTTCAAAATAAATGTAACTTTCTATTCATGAAGGAATCCTAAAAAATGTAGCAATGTTCCCATTAAAAATATGAAGCATTACAAATGTTTGCATCAGTAGTAATATAATAAGAAATGTGTACTGAGCAGCAAATCAGTATATTAGAATGATCTCTGAAGGATCATGTGACACTGAAGACTGGAGAATTGATTTTGACTTTGTTATCACAGAAATCAATTACATTTTAAAATATATTCAAATAGAAAGCAGTTACTTTTAGTTGTAAAAATATTTCAAATATTACTGTTTTTACTGTATAAAATGAAAGCAGTTTTGGTAAGCATAAAGAGACTTCTTTCAAAAACATTTAAAATGCGACCCCACACATTTGAACAGTAGTGTACTTTAATATTCACATGGTACATCAATTCTGTTATTGCAAAAGGGCTAAATGTATCCTGTTTTCCATGATATGTCCCCATTAAATGTACTTCCTGGAACAGTGTCACTCAGTGTCCATTTAGTTGTCCTATTTCCTAAAAATAGCTTTTCAACTCATGTTCATGTGAATTAGACGCCGCCAATGACAGTACCTGCTGATTTAGTTTTTCAGACAGAAGCCTGTGCCAGCACCAGTACCACATCAATAACTGAATCACATTTACATAGACCATCTGACTGCCTAATTCATGCATCTCTGATACTTTTTCAAGCAAACCAAACCAGATTAATGGTCAATGAACAGCAAAAACGCAAGAGCAGGGGCAGGTGGAAGGAAGTACACGGTAGCAGCCATTAGGGGACGTCGATAAATTAGCAGAGATGTGGAGCTGTGCAGGGGCACAGAGGAAAGAGAGGCCTGGGGGGATGAGATTGGGTCTGGAAATACATGTTGAAGATATTTTAGCATTAAAAAAAAAACAATCAATGATCATGACTGAAGGGGGCTGCACTTAACACCTGAGATATTACACAAGATATACATAAATGTTAAAGGGGTCATCGGATGCAAAATTCACTTTTACATGTTATTTGTTCATGAATCTTTGCAAATTGCCTTTCCTAATAATGTGCTAGTTAGCAAGTTCCGCGGCTAAATGGGGCTAAAGTTAACAGTCTCTGTTAAAAGTCAGAGATCTGCTTCACCCCATGGAAGAGAGGGGCGGAGTGAGCAGTTGCTCATTAGCATTTAAAGGGACATGCACCGAAACGGCTCGCTGTGAACAGAGCTGATTTTGACAAGGTAAAAATTGTGTTGTTTTACACTACCATTGAGAAATTTTAACCAAAGTATGTTATAGACTTTTCACTGAGACCCTAAAGAATCATATCAACTTGTGGAAAATGTGCATTCGTTTTTTCGTGTGTGAAAGTCTTAATATTTTTTCTAAAAAAAATGCCACTTAAAAGTCACCAAGAAAACAAAATGGACAATTCTTATGTTTTATGGGATATTGCAGTGTTCGATATAAATTATTTATCCATGCACATCATTTCATGCACTTTTTTTTTAACAGTATGTGCACTTATGTGTACTTACAGTGTAATACAAGGTAACTAAATGGTTAAGATTCAGTTTATGGGTTTGTTCAGGGTTAGTACCTAGTTATTGCCCAGTTATTACTATAAGTAAACAGTATGTACATGCGGAACAGCATTGTAAAATAAAGTGCTACCTATCATATTTTATTCATGTGTTAGAAAACAACAACAATCCAATCAATTTGATTGGAACAGACAAAATCAAGTTCCACCCTACGCTTTTTCTTGTTCAAGAACCCTTTTCACTCAGATTTGTCACAATAAAGGAGAAAAGACGATCATAATTTCCGTTTCATGCCGACTTTAAGCACACCTCTCCTTAGCACTTCAGCAGGCACCATTAAAACTCCTCAGAGACACACACATACAAACATCACAAAGGATTTCTCTCATTTATTTTCTCTAGCTTTATTTGATCTCCCTCCCTCTCTCAGTCATAACAGCAATCTAACCCTGAGTTTTTAGATAGTGACGGCTGGCTGCGTTTACTGATAAAAACAATCAAACAATTGGATGAGCAAGTAATCTACACAGGTCACTGGCGCCCAGTGCTAACAACTGTAACACGGTTCAGAGGGATTACTGTATCCAGTCAGTCGGCGCTGTTGCTAGGCCTCATGTAGCTTTCTCTCTCTCTCACTCCTCCTCCTCCTCCTGAGCTCCCCCACACATGCTGCACACAGCCAAAAAATGGCCAAATAATACATTCTAGCTCAATAAAGGAGGAGACAGCTGCTGCACTCAGACAGAGAGGACCTTGTCTAGCTCTTTAGCTGCACATAAACACATACGCAGAGACATAAACACACAAACACATCTGCTGTGATCATAGCTCAATGCTCAGCGCCACGGTTAATGTGAGTCCTGATTGAGCCACAGTCCAGAGAGCTGCTGCTTTCTGAGATTAACATGGACAAATCAGAAAATAAAAGGTACAACAAATGTGAGCTTATTGATAAATCACAAATAATATCTTTATATTTATGACAAATCATCCAAAAGTGAAAATTCTGTCATAATTTACTCATTGATGTTCAAAATCTCATTTAGAACAAGGGTCTCATTTAAATCTCATTTAAAACTCTGTTCACAATATTCACAAAAGAGATGTTATCTGATGTTCTGTTACTTTTCATGCAATAACAATGAATGGGCACTGAGGACTGCAAGCTCCAAATGCATATAAAAACACCATAAATGCATCATAAAAGTAATTAATATGACTTGTGTGCCATATTTCAAGTTTTCTAATGCCGTACAATGGCTTTGTGGAAGAAACAAAATTAATTTGAAGTTTTTTAGATCCACTAATGACATTCAATTCATTAATTAATCAGTCATTTGAGTCAGATCTTTTCAATGAATCGGTCAATCATGAATCAGACTGACGTAGGTCCTACTCACTGCTCACCAAAGCTGCACTTACTTGATCAAAAATCTGTTAGTAATCTAGTTGAATATTATTACAATTTAAAGTAACTTTTCTATTTGAAAATATTTGAAAATATAATTTATTCCTGCGATGCAAAGCTAAATTTTCAGCATCACTGCAGACTTCCGTGTCACATGATCCTTCAGAAATCATTCTAATTAGCTGATTTGCTGCTTAATAAACATTTATCATTATGAATGTTGAAAACAAGTGTGCTACTAAATATTTGCATGATATATATTTTTCAGCATTTTTGATGAATAGAAAGTTCAAAAGAACAACATTTATTGGGAACAGAAATCTTTTGTAACATACTGTAAATGTATGTACTGTAACTTTTGATGCATCTCTGTCAAATAAAAGTAATAATTTCCAAAAAAAACATACTGACCAAACTTTTAATGGTAGTATATATGAAGTCACTTTTTGACGCATCAAAGCTTCAGTTCCCATTCTTTATAACTGCATGGCATAAAAAGGTAAATTCTTCAAAATTCCTCCTTTTGAGTTCCACAGAAGAAAGTCATAAAAGTTCAGTGACATGAGGGGTTAATGATAATGCAATTTTTTTCGCGTGAACTGTTCCTGTTCCCTCTAAAATTACTTTATCATGCTTCCAAAGAAAAGCAGTATTTAAACACAAAAATACCAAATATGACCATAGATAACCCCATGGCATTAGCATGCTTTTTTGGATATACCATAAAACACTGCCAGAATTCATTGGTAGTCAATCAATATGCTTTTGTCAATGACATATTCGTAAACTTTGACATTTGCTATCCCTAACCTCATCTTGAACATTCGTTGACCGTCCCATAGTGCCATCACAGTACTTTTTTATCATAATTGACCAATCCATGACCAGAGGTTGCAGTGTCTTAGGCTGAATCTGACAGAAAAAACTACATTCTAAGGCTGAGAAAGATCACTACTCAGCAAAACAGCCTGGAGGTGTTAGTGATATCTGACAAAATGACCAAACATCATGTGTGAATGATGAAATCTGTAGTAAAAAATAAAATGTGACCCTGGACCACAAAACCAGTCATAAGGGTCAATTTTTCTAAATTGAGATTCATACATCATCTGAAAGCTGAATAAATAAGCTATCCTATTGTTAGGATAGGACAATATTTGGCCGAGATACAACTATTTAAAAATCTGGAATCTGAGGGTGCAAAAAAATCTAAATATTGAGAAAATCGCCTTTAAAGTTGTCCAAATTAAGTTCTTAGCAATGCATATTACTTTTTTAATTAAGTTGTAATATATTTACAGTAGGAAATTTACAAAATATCTTCATGGAACATGATCTTTACTTAATATCCTAATGATTTTTGGCATAAAAGAAAAATCAATAATTTTGACCCATACAATGTATTTTTGGCTATTGCTACAAATATACCCAAGCGACTTAAGACTGGTTTTGTTGTCCAGGGTCACAAATAATGCTCTAATGGTTAATATATCACAGTGCAATAGTAAAACAAACTCAAGTGTCTGTGTGCACACGCATCCGGGTTACCTTGAGTGAGTCGAAACAGGCGATGACGCGGCCGTTCTCCACGTGGCAGGTGCGAGAGGGGTGAGCGAACTTGCATTCGGTGTCCGAACGTGAGCAAGTTCCTCGCTGGAACTCTCTGCACACCTCCAGTGTCAGCCACTTGGTGTCGCGACCCATGGTCACATTGACGGCCATGGCGGTCCCTCGGTGAGCGGCAGGTGAGCGGAGGGCTGGGGTGGGGCAGCCAGGCGTGATGAAGCACAAAAGCTGCAAAATATGAGCACAGTGGCAAGGAGATCCTCAGACTACCAGTCTAGAAATGAAAACCAAACTCTCTTATGGACAGGAAGGGGGCATAGTCTGCTGATCAGCCAGTGAGGAAGTATGACGAGAATATGAGATCAGTTTAAAGTCAGGTAGGGAGAGCGATGAATCGAGCGTGCTGAGGTGGAGTAGGTCAATGTGACATGCTGCGTTGCATCTTCGGCTGCTGTCCAGGAAAACGAGGCATTAAAAGTAGATTAGAGCGGCACTTTGTATTTGTCTGCAGTGGTCGCCCCACTGTCTAGACTCACCCTCCGGAGCTCTGGGTTTAAAATAACCCTCTTGCATTGATGTAAAATGGACTTTCTCTAAATTTAGGCTTCTGAAACCCCCTGCCCTGTTGCCATAGGCGCAGCAGTCCCTAAAGATACTTGCATGTCTGGGTCACCAGGGATGGAGAGACTGCAGAAGTGAAGGAAGAGACACTTTGAGAACCCAAAAGGGAAACTAATCGATTGGCGTCCTTGTATTAAAAGGTGAAATGGCGAGCAGGCGGAGCTGGAATCGAGGAACGGGCAAATGGGTTGATTGACTGTCAGGGTGAAATACAGCCCAAGCGCGCACACGCACAAGTCAGCGGAGAAGAGAGCGCTCCGAAGCGGACACAGAGAAGGGCTTCCGCAGCATCCAGATGAGGCACTTTATGGTGATGCGAGACTTCTTTCACTTGAATCGCTTTCTCATCCCTCCTGCTCTCCCTGCGTCCCTTTCATTGCACTGTGACGTGTCCTCGCGCACTTCTAAGAGAGTCCTTTGTGGCAGGAGACCTGTCTTTGCGAAAAGACACAAAAACAAAAGCAACAAAACTCAGTTAAAACAGCTTGTCCCGTTCGAAACACTTACAAGCGATAAAACACAAGCGACAAAAGTTCAAAACAACAAAGGAAATGCCTAAAGCTGCAGCTGTTTATGTTGCAAACCTGTAACTGGGGAATACAGAGGTGAGCGACAAACAGAGATAGGCTGAAAGCGCATGGCAGAAAGCGTGAGTGAGAGAGTGCAAGAGAGGGAGAGGAGGAGTGCAGACGGGAGGCAGGCAGCAATGCAAAGGAAAGGGCAGGCTGTGTCTTGATTAAGAGGGAAAAGAGGGAGGAGGCAGGAAAAGGGACACAGAGAGAGAGAGCGAACACATGGGAGACAGCAACGTCACTTTACGACTCTGGCACAACAAAGTCAGCCCAAAACAAAACAGTGAGGCCATAAACTACGCGCCGATCGCATGCTCCCAGAGTTCAGGATCTAAACGTGGCTTCTATGATTGAAAAAGGAAGTAGAGCAGCCGACAGGAAGGGCAAATCCCCATAGCTGCAGCTGCTGAGCATGGAACACTGCAACAGCCAATCAGTAGCTGCGAAGTAACCGGGCAATGTGGATCGGCCAATCAGGAGGAGCCTAATATATCGATCGTTAGTCTCCCCACCCTCTTTGTCATTGCATTGCTCCTTGGCTGAATCCGAAGGAGAGTGGCTCTCTAGCTTTCCCGGAGAGTTATCGAGGTACAGGCGATCACAGGAGGGAAAAGAAAGGAGAAGTGAATGGATGGTTACCGCATTCGTTCTACACGGGAAGGTGTGCGGGGTGGAGATGTGAAACACAGGGGGCGGTGCCACAGGGGGATGTGAGTGGGTGTCTTGGGTGGGTCTGACAGCTGATATGCTGTCCCTTGAGAGAGAGGGAGACAGTACAGTGAAGAATAATCAATGGCGTGATGACCAAGCACACTTGAACCGATGCTGGAGGGAGGGAGGGACGGATAAATAAATAAAAGGACAGGAAAATGAAAACAAATAAAGCAGAGGTGAATGAGCAGACAGTGAGGGGATTAGAGGAGAGGTTAAGGCAGATATTATCTGTCCCCGTGTCTCACAGCGACAGACACAGACGGAGGAGGCGGCAGGTGGAAGGGGTGGTGGGGGGGATTGGTGAGCGCGTGATCGGAGCGTGCAGACAGACGGTCCAGAAGGAGAGCAATGCGGTGAGGGAGATCGGGAGAGAAAATTAGGGAGAGAAGATGGAAATTGAATTAATGACACCCACCTCCAAATACAAGAACAAAGGCACTAAATGCAGTGCAACCTAACACCGCGCAAAGCAGAAAGTAGGTTTTACAGCAGGCTGACGTGTGCACCCTCCCCCAATATCAGCCCTACAGTAAGATCGATGAAGACGCCCCCCCCCGGGGAACGCGGACCTGCAATGAGCTGTTCGTCAGCACTGAAGTTAGCACATCTCTGTCTCAGAGCAGAGCAGCACTGTACCTCAGCCACACCTGCTTCCTGCACACAAAGCGAAAGCCCAATTATCTCATTTATATGTAGGCAGGTGAACGGAGAGGTGATCCGTGAAAAGAACATGTGGCCGTGACGTCAGCCGCTGCGTCTGAGTCCCTCCGCTATTACCCTAATGTGTAGTACAAGCGTCGCCCGCCCGATGACTGCTAATCCCCCCCTGAGATGATAATCATCGTTATTTCCAAAATGGGATGATTTTTATCTTCACGGCTTGTAGAGCTAACGATCACACACTGTCCGAAACAATGGGACCGGTTATAAATAGATGTCTCGAACTGATTTCCCAGTGTGATTAAGTAAATTATTAATGCAAAGTGGACCGACGAAACACAACCTGACTAGTTGGTGTACGTTTGGCCTAGTTTTTACAAGCTGTAGTTACTGTACAGGCATAAAAGCAGATAACGCTAGAAGAAAGGTATACTGTTTCATCTAGAAGGATGGCTGAATGAAAAGTGAAAAAGCAAAGCACTTTGAAAGTAGCTTGCCAAGTTCACTTATAACTGGTTAAAGTACAGCCAAGATATTTTATTGAAAATGTAGTTATTTACAATAGAAGTGACTAAAAACAATCTAAGTACAATCTAGTTAATTAAAGGGGCAATAGCTTAAAAAAACAGAATAAGGGTGCATAATATATTGGGACCACATGGGTTATTGGCTTACATTTTACATTTTATTTAGTTTATCAGTATCTGTCTATATTGAATGTATAGGCCATTTTTGGATATTTACAGTCACAATGAAACTGAAGCAGGGATTTTTTTTCTTCTGTAATGTGAAATATATTAACAAGAGTGAAATGGATTATTGTAAAAGAAAGAAATGTGTAGGCTGTGGACTTTCCAATGGTTTTTGTTTGGTTGGAGGTTGATCTGAATGCAAGCTTGCAATCGATTGTAAGAAAGGTGCAAATTAATTGATTGGGGAAGTCCAGCATACATCACCAGGTAAAAGTCTGTCAGTTCACAGGAAGATTGATTTATGACTTAAATTAATCTTAATTAAAAATTAATTTTTTTTAAAGAAACGTGCATGGATGAATTGTTCACAATGAGATCTGTAGCATGCATTTAGAAAACAGGTAGGATGAATTTTCATTTTAAGCCAACTTTAATTATTGATGCTCATTTCCACCATTTTTAAAATTGAAAAATACATTATTTTAATTTTAAGTGATCATTAGATAGGTAAAGGTAATCTAAACGTAAAAATAGGGGAAATTAGCATTTACAATTCAAATGTAATATCAGCCAATACCAATATTAAAAAAACCTCTAATGTCGGACGATAATTGAAATGGTACTGATTAGGGATGCACCGATGTATCGGCCGCCGATATTTTATCGGCCGATTTTTCCTCAATTTACAACCATCGGCATATCAGCTATATAAGGAAAAAGACCGATATAACACACCCGCTGAGTGGCATTAAACAGCTTGAAAGATCAAAGACAATTTTTAATATAACTCCGACTGGATACGTCTGAAAGAAGAAAGTCATATACACCTAGGATGCATCGGGGGTGAGTAAAAAACAGCCTAATTTTCATTTTCGGGTGAACTAACCCTTTAATGCTAATCAAATAACAAAAGACAAAAGATCGCACACTATTCTTGACTAAATAACTTTTGTAACTTTCATAAGTGTAGTGGACCTCATCTGAATGATGACCAAAACTTTACTGATGTTTTATTAAGTTTATTGCGTCCTTTTTCCCTCCAAAAATATATAATATATATAATATTTAATTTATACAGTGAAGTGTTATTTTACATTTGTTTACTTTATTTCTGTACCTGAAAACTGTTAAACCTACCTATAAAGCACTGGTTATTTCATATGTATCTTTGTTCTCTTTGGAGTGTTACAAGCTGATTGTGCATAGATAAGTTCCCTGAAGTTGCAAAGACTAAAGTCTCAAAACCAAAGAGATATTCTTTATCAATCAGAGCAGACTGCGCTTGTCGGAAGGAGGGACTTTGTAGAAACCGAAGCGTTTGAGAGAGGCGGGGCATAGAGGACCTACAATAATGTACAGTATTTGAAAAATAATGTGTTTTTTGAACATTAAAGCATGTCAACATATTCTGTTACACCAAATACACAAAATAATGATCTTTAAAAAATGACCCCTTTAAAATCGGTATTGGCCCCAAAAAATCCTATCGGTGCATCCCTAGTACTGATATATCATGCACCTCCAATATCTTACTCTAACAAAGAAATGCAATGATACCAGGGACTGTAATCAGTTTATTTATGGTTTCATAAACCATCTGAACGATGCAGGAATCAGAATTTGAATTCCCTCAGCTTGCTCAGGCTGAGCATGCAATGACATTAAAAACAGCAATGCAGCGTTTTTAATGCACATATTTGAAAAACTAGCTTGTTAATGGAAAAGCCACACTATATTGAAAAGAGCTACTAACACACTACTGAAAAATGTACAGGCTAGATTAGACACAGCAAAACTTGCACTAAACCTGGACAGAGAAGAGATTAAAAAAAACTGAAAACCAGACTTAAGAGAGAATGAATATCTCTAATGCACAGACAAGACGACAAACAACCTTGTGCTCAATGCTAATAACATCAGCTATATGTAGTACAATTGTTATACAGGCTAGTGTAAGTGCTGGTTGTGTTTACTTTAATGTTCTACAGCAGGAAGGTGGCTGGGCGGAGGATATACAGCACGGCATACGTGTGTGCGTGTTTCTGGCGCAGATCTACAAAGGAGGCTGTAAATATCAGAAGTGTGGAGGTGGCGAGTGTGTATTGTTTCTACAAGGTCACTGAGCTGTATGCACATTGCACTTGTAGCAATGTCCTTCAGGTGCCGCATGTGTATGCACAAGAATCAAGGAGAAAGTCAATAACTGGAATGTATAGCACAAGACAAGGCATCTGAGAAACAAATATCTTTTAATAGCACTTGGCTGTGGTTTGTAGACACTAGTGTGCTGTTCAGGGCCATCTCAGTTTGAAAAGTCAACAAAAATCACATCTACTGTCTGTCTGTGAGAAATAACATTATTCCTGCTAAATTAAATGATGTATTCAATATGCTTGAAGTTGGCATGAAATTCAATCTATTTTGTAAATGTATGTTATTGATCTTATTGTAAATGATTCTTCTGTGTAGGGCTGAAACGATTAGTCGACATTATCGACAACGTCGCCAATAAAAGATAGTTGACAAATAATTTTGTTGTCCGAGTAGTCATTCGATCTGAAATGACCTAATGTAAGAGCCTGCAATAATGTGGTTTGACCAGTGTGGCACTGTAGCGCAAGACTGTAATTCAGCCCTCCTGGATGCAATTCAAGAGAAGAAGACACAGCGCTTCAGAGCAAACACTGCCGAACCTGAAGCTGCTGCGGGCGTTTGGATGAATATGTAAATATATGCTGCACACTTTCCTCTCAATAATGCAATAAACACAACAAAAGCGGTGAGAAAGTAGCA